TTAGGAATATTTTTTTTTTAAGTATGTCTTTTAATCAATAAAACTTGCTATACTTAAGTTAGATTTCTTGTATTGAAAGGAGAGAATTGAAACCGAGAACAGGATGTGTTTGCTGCAAAATAAACCCGAAACTGTTTGGTATTTTTTTAACGTGCATGACTGATTTTTTTTTTCTTTCTTTTTTTAAAAAAAACTTTTGTACTTCTGCCCCTTATCTAAAATTCTTGTCTTTATCGGATATAATTAAAGGTAGAATTTACCCACTGAGCTTAAAGTTTTCACTGTGATATTTATTGAGTCATAAGAGGAGTTTTGCAGACTTGCCTGACTTCTTTCAAAAATTATAAGCTTACCTTCCAAGGAAAGCAAAAATGATTTTTAAATTTGCCAGACAAGGTTTTTATTTTTTTTTTAATGGTGCTGGATAAATTTTTTTCATCTGCTGCAGTTATTTCTATATATAGTATAAGGATGTGAAAAGTCATTCATTCCTAATGTGTTTAAATATGCTCCATAATGAATGTTGTGGATGTGAAAGATAAGCAGCCTGGAGCTTTCTTTTGCAAGGGATAGGGTAACACAAAGCATCAAAGTTTTGCTGCCCTCGGGACACACATTGAAGTAGTTAAAGTAGGGAGATAAACGAAATACAATAAGATATTAATCTGCAGAAATCTCAAGCTCAAGGACACAATAAGTTTTCATTTAAGTGTTTCTCATTTGCTGACAATAAGCCAAATAAATCTTAATTCCACATCATAGATTGTGACAGAAATTCAGTAATTATCCCTAGGATGACAGTCTGGATTGTTTCCCAAATCTTTCTGATAATGGACATGTGTATGTTGGGATTCTAATCTGAATTAGCTGCTTACAGTTACTTAAGAAAACAAGAATTATTTTTTTCAGATTTGCTATTTATGAGCATTTTTGTTTGGTGTGCTGAAATAACGTGTAGTCTGATATTCCTGAGTTGGAACAAAGAATTAGTGTAAAGAACGAAATAATTTTCCATTACTTTGCATTATGTTAGTCCTCACTCACTGCATTTCTTCTTACAGGTGCTGGATTTGGATTAGGAATTGTTTTCTCAGTCATCTTCTTCAAAAGTAAGTATATTGCAGTAATCTTGACTGCCTGGTTTCCAGAGTTATGTCTGTTCTAGGTGCAGTTTAAAACCTTTGAGGCATGTAAAACTTAAATCAGCATGTTAGACCAATTCTTTCGTTACAGGTCATGTCTTTTCAGTTGAAATGAAGTTACCTAAACTTGTAACTGTTGTGTAACAACAGGCGGCATCTCTCTAAGCTCCTACTGTGCTCAGCTCAGATTTTGGAATTGCCGGAAACCCTGAGCCAAATTACTGGAGCCGTGTGTCTAGACATCAGTTTATGCCAGTCTTGCCAGGCTTTTAAAACTGATGTAAATTATTTTTTAGTTATGCTTTGGTAACAGAGTAATTTTCAGTAATATCTTGAATTCAGAGCTTGCTCTCCATTAAATTTTAAATAGTCTTACTCACTGTTACTCTTGTGCTTCTGAAGTGCTGATTTTAGGACTCTTAGAACTTGAAAATGCCTAATATGCATCTTCCAGTAATTTATTCTTTCTTGGTGCTTGTTTAACCATTCTGTGACTGTCACGTGACATGAACAGCTTTTCTTGATTTTAACTTTTCCTCTCCGCTTGCCTTCCCCCACAGGAAAGACATGGCCTATTGCATTTGGGTCAGGGATGGGGTTAGGAATGGCTTATTCCAATTGTCAACATGACTTCCAGTCTCCATATCTTCTCCATGGTAAATATGTAAAAGTAAGTATCAGTACTAGTTACTATTAATTGGTAACTGTTTATACTTTAGCATTAAATGGTACATCTAGACACCATTTAAACTGATATTCCTCTGCTTTTCCCAGAAGAACACTATTAAGAAGAAACTTCTGTTGCTGAAGTGAGGGTGGTTCCCCTGCTATTCAGAAATTTTTAATTTTTAATATCTGGTGTGTTTAGCAGTAAATTTACTAGACTGAATACATAGAATTATTTTAACAGATCCTGCAGGTAGGTTCCACAACCTGAAAACACATATAATAAAAATTTATGTTAGAAAAGCTGAAAAATTAAACATAAATTAAAGCTAATAATCTTTAATAAATTAAAGCTAATAAATTAAAGTATAATCTTACCACTAAGATTCTGTTTTCAGACTTTGAAAGAGATGAACTAGAAAGAAACTGAAAATCATGTCAGGTAGATCTGCCTGTGGAAGCAGATCTTTGATCTTCTGTGGGTTTGTTGGTTTGTTTGGTTGTTTCTTTTTTTCAACGTGAAAACACTGATCACTTGTAAATTTTATGACGTGTTTGGCTAGATAGTAATGTCATAATTAGTCTGGAGAAATTGTACACTTTAAATAGTTTGGAAGAGGGTAATTTAAAGGAGTTCAGTATTATCACTGACCATACTGAGGTAAAATATTTAAAAATAGATTACTCAGCAGGAACCACTGGTGTGCTTGCAAACTGCCTACAGTGCACTAAGTCCACAAACTGACTCCATTAATATTTTCTTTATTTCTTCACATGTAAAAGTTGTGGCTGTTCTTACAGTAATTTCTCATTGTGGCATCTGGAATTAAAAAGGGCTCTGCATGCATATTTTGGATCCACAAAGCCATATACTGCTAAAAGCATTTCACCAATACCAGTGGAGTGGCATCCACTCAGACATATTTATAGTTATTTTAGCACTTCAGAAAGTACTGAGATAAAATGTTCTGCCAGGAGCTTTTCATGGCGAGTACACAGAATACAAAAATGGCTCCTGTATCGCTCGTCTGCCTAATGAAGGAGGCCTGGAGGTGTTTTTAGGCTTTTTCCTCATGCATCTAGAGCTGTAAGTTGAGTCTGGTCCTCCTTAGGTTTACTGGCAGATGAGCTTTTGCCAGCCTTCTGCAGCCCTACCAGACATAGCTGTTTACAAATACTATCTTCAGCTGCCTGTAAAGAAAGGGAAACAATAACAAGATTCTTGGACAACTTCTTCAGAATAAAAGTATTTTGGATAGCAGTAGAGAGGAACTGTGGCTTAGATGCAGTGATACAACATTGCCAGCTACGGCCCAGAATCAAAAGTCTGCGCGTGACTCTTCTGGCCAGATCTGGTAACATCAAAACATGTTAATTTTCCACACCATCCTGAGGATATTCCACCAATTTATGTCTCCAAAAAGAAACTGGAATGACATATCTGTGGCTTCATGTGAATGGTAAATGCCCTGTCCACATGTTCTGAGAAAGCATTATTCATTCAAGGATGTTTGTTACTAGGGATGTGGAACAACAGAAAACTGACTTTCAGGTCAGCCTAGTAAAGGATTTTGTTTGGATTAAGGACTAATCTGTGCTCTGGAGCAAGGGTGGTCCTTCGAAGCATGAGGTAATTGAAAGGACACTTCACAGAAGAAGCGCAGCTGCCTGCATGGCACAAGACTAGACAAATAGTTTCCAGTGCACTGTCTCCGCTAGCTTTCTCTGGTACAAAGAGGCTGAACATGCTGAGAGAGGGAAGATGTGGATGAAGCCATCTAATGGTTAATGTCATTAATTCTCTCCAAAATGTCGTGTCATGGATAATGGCTCCAGGGTTATTACAACAAAATTATTTCATTTCTGTTGGTTAGGAGCATGGAAAATATTGTCACATTATCACTCATCTTGTTTTTTTCCTAGAAAATGCTGTTGTAACTAAATTCTATAGGACTTCCTTTACAAAACTGAGTTTCTGTTCAAATGCTAGCTTGTCAAAATTGAGATTCTGCAAGAAAATCAGCTTTATTAAGAGAGAAAGAAATGTAAACACGGATTAGCTTCAACAGAATTATTTCTAGTTTTCTGAACCTGTCAAGTTCATAGCATCACAGGATAACTCAAGTTGGAAAGTACTTCAAGGAGGTCATCTAGTCTGACCTCAAGCCAGGGTCAGCTGTGAGGTCAGACCAGGTTACTCAGGGCTTTATCCTGCCTGGATTCTTGATTCTTCAGGATCAAGTTCTTAGTTCTATATCCTAAGTGAGAATGAGAGAAGACAGAGAACCTTCATGATATCAAATAATCAGGAGAGATTATAAAGCAACTTTGCAGCTGTTTTAGCTGTAACTTGGATCATCACGCTGCCCGTCCTTTGGGTTAGCAAGTTGATCATGAAACACTAACACCAATGCAAGAGCCATTCATCTAGGCCAGGAGACCACTTAAAATGCAGAGAAGTTCTAATTTGTGGTCATAAGATTCTGAGGGCTTTTTAAGTAATTTGATCAAGTGGCTGTCACTGTGACTTCAGCTGAATGTAAAATCAACATCTAGCAATTATTTCGAGGCTTAAAACGATACGGCTGAGAATAACGTGGCCTAAGGTTTCCTTGCAGAATGGAAAGTATCATATTTTTCAGGTTATTTAGCCTGTATTATTTATCACCCAAAAAACCCACAACCCTGCACTTTGATTGCCATGTGGATTATATTGATGTGCAACAGCACAAGAAGTTTGGCAACTGGAGCCTTTCCTCCTGCCCTTTGTGGCTTTGATTTCTCTCCGATTTCTATTCGGTCTGTGAATAGTTAACTTGAAACAATAACGTTGGGTTTTTTTGGAAGGACCCATTTTATCGGAATGGAGGCTTAGATGCATGGAAACACGACATGCTTCTGGTATGAAAATAGCTGCTTAACTTCTTCATACTCAGCTTCTCAGTCTAGCAAAGGATGAAAATGTTAACTTACCTTCTGGAAATGTTACAAAGCTAAGTGGCTTGCTTTACATCGTGCAGCACCTTCCATGTAAGGAACCCAAATGGCTTTTTAATAATATAAGCCTTCTTGCTTTACAGGAACAGTGACTAATGACTAAGACTATCCCAGTGGGAAGGAAGGAGAAATCAATGATTATTCCTCAGGAATACTGAAGTGCCGCTGGAATAAGCCAACATTCTTCAATAACGATCACCAGTAACTCTTTATACTCCAACAAACTGTTTCTGTACATGAAACCAAGTTCTGTTGCTTGTTTTGTATCGTGTCTGGAAAGTGCAAGGAAGAGCTCTTCTGGGAAATAAATAAAAGAAAAATGGCCTTCTCTGGTGTGTTGACTTTGTATGTGAGTGAGAGAGAGACTGGAAGGAGAGGACTTCATTTTGAGTACCTAGCAGCTGTGACCACCTGGGTAAAAGCCACTGTGAGAGCTCTTCAGAAAAGACAGCCGTCATATGTTCCTCTCCACTCTGGAAAGGCAACCCCCATCTAAGATGCAGTTCAAAGAAGCATTCCCACCTCATAAATCACCCACCAGACCCCTGCTGCTTGTGCCGATGTTTGGAGAGGAATATAAATACTCCTATGTCCTGTTTGTACAGTTGCCCTTTAAAATTGGAATTTTGTCCTCTCCAAAGAGGGAGAATCCAAAAGGGCAAATCCTCACTGTGGGACTGATGCTGTTAGCTGGTGCTGTCTCTTGTAGCTTTCAGTTATGGAGTGACCCAAGCTTGAAACTTCCCAGGATAGTGGGCGAGTGAAACAGATGCACATGCCATCTGGCTCTGAGCTTACCTTTTAGGTTGATTGTTTTTTCACTCCTCTTCTGTGGGAGAACATACAGGTTTCAGTGTCAGGGAATGGGTCACAAATATTTAAAGCTCTTTATTGCCTTGGCAAGTCACTGGTCCAAGTACTCCCTTCTACTTTACATTTACCCCAGTCCTTGTAATTACTTGTTGGCATGTTGTCTGCTGCTCTTCTAATTCGAGAGGTCATCTTCACCGCTTCTTTACTCAGCACAATTTTCTGGCTGCTATTGACATGGCTCTTTAGGACCTCTCTTCTTCCTCCAGTGCTTGCTGTGTATTGTCCACATAGCACAAGCTGTAAATGCATGTCTCCTGAGACAGAAAGGGAATGGTATAGATTGATACGGAGCTTTCCTTCATTGAAAGCCTGTTCTGCTGCATGGTGAGTGCTGGCAGATGGAAGAGTGACAAAAAAATTCCTCTCCAGAAAGGAAAACACAATGGAAAACAAGTTGCACAATGTTTGTTTTTTAAACCATGCCAAAAAAGGAAGGGGATGGACTGAGGGGCAGTCTTCTGAATTCAGAGCTTGAGAAGCTCCTTCTCTTCCTGAGCAGTGGGACTGAGATTTGGTCTGGGTGCTACCGCAGCCCCACATCCCCTTGGGCACTTGTGTGCGGATCTTGCACGCTCTAGAAACATGTTGAGCTGTGCCCAGAGTCAACAGAAGCTGAAGAGCTCGCCTAGAGCAATGGACTTATGAAATAAAATAGCTTTAATGCCAGAGCAGCATTAAAGACTGTCAAAGCATGATACCATCCAGGACCATTGCTTGAGCATGTCCTTGTTTTTCCATCTCCTCCCTCACCGGACTGCATTCATCAGTCAGGTCAAAACAGCTTATTGGAAACAGGATCTCTTTCTTTCTTCCCAATTTTGAATCATTTTATCTGGCCCCAATTTTTAATTTGAACTATGTACTTTGGAACCGTAGCTCCTCTGTGGTTTGGAAAGTGTTTTTATTGAGTTCTGTGTGTGTGTGTGCTGTGATGCTGGCAGTCTGGTAAGCCAGTGGGTTCAGCTGGAGAGAAGAACATCAATCTGGGTAAAAAACAGGAGAACCAAAAGCGATAGCAACACTCTGAATATAACAACTGTCAACATGCAGAAAAAGCTTCAGTGCTGTGTCATTAGGACCATGGTGATGGGTTCCATTTTTATTATTTAAGTGTTTCTGGTAATGAGTTGTCCTGCCCTGGTGTGCTCTGCTTTAGTTCAAATATGACTTCCTAGAGTTAATTCTTACTTAATCTGATCTACTGTGACCCGTGTGCAAGTGGTTCTTCTAGCCCTGGAACTCAGAGGGTACCGTTGTAGATACTGATTCACAATGTGTCCTTTATTGATAGAGTGAGAATAATCAGAACAAATGTTCTTGCTCATTAATAGGAAATCCACTAGAATGAGTGTGGAAAAGTTGCACAACTTAAAAAGTAGCATTTAAAATTTGTCATTGCTCTTTAAACGAGGTAAGAACTTGTTTGTTTGTTTGTTTTTCACAGCTGCCTTGCTTGTTGTTGTTTGTGTTGAGGTATATATACACACACATATATAACTAGCACATAATGGGCCTGTATTTGTTTTGCTTTAATTAAAGTTGGATTATTCAAAAACTTATTTTTGAACCTGTCTATGTGAGCTGTGCAAAATGTCTCCTTGTGAGGACAAGTCTCCTGTTTCCCTCTGTGGGAATGAGACCATACTGTTCCCAACTGAGGTTAGAATAGGAACGGTTTCCTGCTGCCTGATTTCTAATTACATAAATGGAAGGGGGAAAAGTGGAAATTCTAAGTACCAAAAGGCATGTTAAATTTAGTAGAATACACTCATCTGGAAACTATCACATTTTTCCTTCTTTCTTAAGCCTGCTGAAATCATTGCTTCGTCTCACTGTAGCGTGAGTTGGATCAGTACCAAAAAGTGCAAACAAGATAGGTCTAGAAAAGTCAGGTGTCCCTACCCAAAACTAAATGAGACTTTTTAGTGGAGAAATTACTGTATCATCCCAGTGCAGCTTTAATAGGAAAATGGTGAGCGTACAGTGAGTAAAGAAACTACTGCTATCTAGAAGGGGAAGGGGGGGGGGGGGGAAAGTTGTTTGCTGAATAGAACTGGTATTGAATCTTTAACAACTCCCTGAGTGCTTGACTGGCCACAAATCTGACTCTTAACAGCTTGATTAGATGTCTGCCGAGGCTTTGGGATGAATAAACAAGTCATGGAAAAGCAGAGACTGCAGGAAAAAAAAATATCAAGCTGCTTTTCTAATGTTTATCTGAGTTCTTCATGTTTGATCAAGATACCGTCATTTCTTTGTATTTCAATCATGCCTAGGAGCCTTAGCCAAGATCAGGACCTTGCTGTATGTGGTGCTGTACACACAAATAAAAACCAGTCTCTGCCCTGGAGAATTTACAAATTAAACAGATGGGATTAAGGGAGGTAGAAAGGTTTATAATTCCCATTTTAAAGATGGGAGAAGCTGTAGCCAAGGTCAGTGGTTAAGTCTTGGAGGGAATGTGGCATGCAGCTGGGACTCTAATTTGAGTCTTGAGCCGTTGACTCCATCAGCCATCCTTTCTGACTGTTTTTTTTTACTTGGCAGGTCATGAAGTCTCAGGGGAAGGCTGCCCACTTGATAATTGGGAGACTCCAGAATGGTATGATCTCCAGCCATTTCCTAATCTTCAAATTGCCCCAAATTCTTAATGGAAAATCTCTGATAAGTTAGGAATTCTGTTTTATTGTCCAGGAAGTGATTGCTTTTGGAATCACTACTAGAAATAAAACACTGAGATCCTCAATACTGACTGTGGTGTAAATCTAAATCTGATGAGGAGAGAAAATATACCAATTCTTTGCATCTCATGGAATAGGTCACCACTTTGTTAGGTTATAACATAATACCAGAAGATAGTCACTGCTGTAGTAGATCTCCCTTAAATACGAACTAAGGTAACAGATTGAGATAGAGGGAGGATGTCTAGGAGACAGTATCATTCCAGTAGTGAAAACAGAGTGATGATGGCATAACTCAGCTCTTCCAGAGGGATCACATGGGTGATTCTTCAAAGTAGAAGGAATTGGTTTTCCAGATGTCTTTATTGGGTTCCCTCTGAGTTTTTGGACTAATGCAAAAGAAATCACAAAGGTGCTTGTTTGCAAATGCAAACAGTGGGTGCATGAGTGGACTAAAGGAGACTGTGGTTGTTGTGGTAGTGCTCTACCATGAGTTCCAGCTCTTATGCTTTAGCTGGAAGGGAAAGGCTCGTGGCAGAGCTGGGGAACACGTGATCAGTGACCTGCTAGGAAAACCACATTTTTCAGCAGTGTTCTGAATCAGCGAGGCATGGCTGACCCTTCCTTTTGCTCTGAGCTGGCTGGGGTTTTTGTTGCTTTCCCCTGCTCTACCACACACATCGCAACAGTAAGAAATAAACTTTTTCCTCATCTCCCACCCTACCCCAACCTTTGTAAATGGGACTGGTGCAAATTTTGGCACACCAGCTCCAGTAGGCAGCTGTGTGCAACGCGTACTGTCTCTTCTCTGCTCTGAGAGTCCAGCCTATAGCCCACCCACAGTGAAATACTTAACTGAGATTGAAACTAAATGGGAACATAGTTCATGGAAATTCAGCTGTGGATCTCTGTTTCTCTTGTGACTTCTGGCTGTCAGCACTTAGCTGTACAGCATTGCTAGTTATTTAGAGCTGGATGTTCCTCGTGGTGGAGGATACCCACCTCCTGTAACTTATAAAGATGCTGAGAAAGTTGTTGGTGACTAATAAATCACTCTTCATCTATAGTCTTTATTGGTAGCGCTTGTAAAGACTCCAGCTCTGGGTTAGGAGTGTATGCCCCTTCCTAGAAAAGGTCATGCCCTTATCAGTTCAAATTCAGTTCATAAATCTCCTATTGTATGAAGGAGTGTGTTTCTTTTTAGAAGTTTTAGAGGGTATTCTTCCTCCCCCTCGGTGCTGTACTTCAAGTTGTTAGTAGTGACTAACAGCTTAACCTAAACCCATTACTAATCCCATGACCCAAGCATTCCCTGAGGATTTAGGAGTCCAGTTGTGATAGACAGCACCTCAGTTTTCTCCCCTGTAAAATAGAAATAGCAATTCTCTCTCCACTTGGTTATGGCTTTAAGACCTACTTCATTCCCAGGTAAAATTCAGCTCTGTACTGTCAGTGTATATTGTGGGACACCACAGTTCACTAGCCATCTCTGTGGGATTAAATCACATTCCACAGTTCACAAAATACTTTGGCTTCTGTTCTTTGAAGATGCAGGAATAGCAAGGTGAAGGTGTGCTGTAGAAAGGAGTGTATTTCTGTGCTTTCTAATCTGCTCTTTCATTTCTTCCAGTCACCTGCTTTTCCATCGCCAAACTCCTGTACCTTGTGTCCAGGACAATGTCCCACAGCACAGAGCAGTAAGGGAGAAAGGACTGTAGTTATCCATGGAGTAAGGAGAGAAGAGGCGTAGGCTGAAGGTAACTGCCATGGGTTGTG